TGGGCTGCCACTAAGTACTCTGGGATCTAATCCCCAAGTTGGACCCCCACCAGAGAGCACCACAACTGAGAAGGGTACCCACATAACATCTGGCTGTGAAAAGCAGCAGGGTTGCTGTCTGTCAGGGAATGACAGTGGAAAATTCAGGATCCCTCTTAAAGGGCCAAAACACAAAATTCACGGTGAAGTCCCTTCCCTTCCCCCCAACCCCCATTCTTCTTCGGGAGGGAATGTGAAATGTACTGGAGTTGTGTGAGCAGAAGCCAGGATTGGGGACTAGGGGGTTAGAGCTCGGAATGCAGACACCCCCAGTTTCCTGGGCTCAGTCATTCCCTCACACAGCAGAGGACATCTTTCCCACACAGACATTTGCCTTTCCGGGGAGGGGGGTGTGGGGGGAGACAGCTGAGCCACCCTATTGAAAAACACCTTGCCCTGAGGCCACTTAAGAAACTAAAAATAACAATTGGCCTCCAGGCAGAAGCAACTGTTGAAAAAAACTCTCTCCACACTTGAAGACGATTGCCACACTTGAAGATGATTGCCTGGAGCCATCCAAGTTGGAATCCTATCAGTCTATAGGCAGAGGCTGTCTCTGGAGGCTTTGAGTCTTTGCCTGATCTAATTAGTAAAACAGAGTTTGACACTGTCCTGCACTAAAGATTGAGAGGTGCAGAGGATCTACTTAATACATAGTCACAAACCCAAACAGACAACCAAAATGAGGAGACAAAGAAACAACCCCCAAATGAAAGAACATTTCAAATGAAAGAATTAGAGAATTCTCCAGAAGAAGAGATAAATAAAGCAGAGATAAGAAATTTGTCTGGAGAGAAACCAAGATGGCGGCATAGGTAAACACCGGAGATTGCTGCCTCACACAACCACTTCAAAAACACAACTAAAAGACATAACGGACATCATCTAGAACCACAGGAAGGCTGGCTGTGTGGAATTTCTACAACTAGAAGGAAAGAGAAAAGCATACCGAGACTCAGAGGAGGTGTGGTGCTGAAGTAAATACAAAGGTGCGGAGGTGCATGTGAAAAGGGCTGGCAGCTGGGGACACGATTGTCTTTTTCAATCGGGAGGGAGTCTCAGGCTCTGAGCTCCAGTTCCGGGAGAGTCTCTGGGGACCCAGACTCAAACGGGAGAAACGGGACTGTCTGGCATCGGTTGGAACACGAGGGCAGCTTTCTCTAGGAAGGCACTCGCGGTGATTACCAGGACCTCTGAAGGCAGGACTGAGCAGCCATACTGCTTGCTCGCTCGCTCGGCCCTCCCTGTTGATCCCCTGGGACCCCGCCCCGACCAAGCCGCGCAGGGAGGCTTTTGCTTATGAAAGGCCCAGCCCTTTGTAATCTGAAAATAACTTAACAAACTGCAGCTGCCCCAAGGCCCCAGGGCAACTTGCATTGCTTTACAGCTGGCTTCTGCTGGGTAGCCTCAGGCAGAGGCTAGATTAGCACCTCCTTAGATCCAAGAGCCAGTGTACCCAGTGGTCAGAGTGGGAACATCCAATTACAACTTCTCAGATCTATAAGGGACACATTCAGGGGGCAGACTCAGTGAGCACCAAAGCCCCACTGAAGCAAGTCTTGCCCCAGAAGGTGTCTTCAGCACAGAAGGTCTCCCACCATAGACACAGCTGATTCTCACAGCTAATTGGCCTGGAGGTCAAATCCTCCCAGTTTTACCTACAACAATCAAGGCTTAACTACAACAAGACTGTGCACAAAGCCCACAAGGGGGTGAACCAAGAGTGTCTACCTCAGGTAATTGGGACAATTAGCACAGAAAGCCACTCTATCGACACAGCGAAGCATAAAAAATGCCGAGACAAAGAAACAGGACACAAATGACAGAAATGGAGGAAAAGCAAACTGCTGGATATAGAGTTCAAAACCACACTTTTTAGGTTTTTCAAGAATTTTCTAGAAACCGCCGATAAATGTAGTGAGATCCTCAAAAATCTAGTGAGACCCTCGATGTTGTGATAAAGGACCAACTAGAAATTAAGCATACACTGACTGAAATAAAGAACATTATACAGACTCCCAACAGCAGACCAGAGGATCGCAAGAATCAAGTCAAAGATTTGAAATACGAAGAAGCAAAAAACACCCAACTAGAAAAGCAAAATGAAAAAAGAATCCAAAAATACGAAGATAGTGTAAGGAGCCTCTGGGACAACTTCAAGCGTACCAACATCCGAATTATAGGGGTGCCAGAAGAAGAGAGACAGCAAGATATTGAAAACCTATTTGAAGAAATAATGACAGAAAACTTCCCCACCTGGTGAAAGAAATAGACTTCCAAGTCCAGGAAGCGCATAGAACCCCAAACAAAAGGAATCCAAAGAGGACCACACCAAGACACATCATAACTAAAATGCCAAGAGCAAAAGACAGAGTATCATAAAAGCAGCAAGAGAAAAACAGTAAGTTACCTACAAGGGAGTACCCATACGACTGTCAGCTGATTTCTCAACAGAAATTTTGCAGGCCAGAAGGGAGTGGCAAGAAATATTCAAAGTGATGAATACCAAGAACCTACAACCAAGACTACTTTATCCAGCAAAGCTATCATTCAGAAGTGAAGGCCAGATAAAGAGCTTCACAGATAAGAAAAAGCTAAAGGCCGAAACCAGTTTGGCTCAGTGGATAGAGCGTCGCCTGCGGACTGAAGGGTCCCGGGTTCGATTCCGGTCAAGGGCATGTACCTGGGTTGCGGGCACATCCCTAGTGGGAGATGTGCAGGAGGCGGCTGATCGATGTTTCTCTCTCATCGATGTTTCTAACTCTCTCTATCTCTCTCCCTTCCTCTCTGTAAAAAATCACTATTCTTGGGGGGAAAGGGGGTGTGGGAGATGCGGGAAGAGACTGGACAAAAATCGTGCACCTATGGATGAGGACAGTGGGTGGGGAGTGAGGGCGGAGGGTGGGGTGGGAGCTGTAAGGAGGGGAGTTATGGGGGGGAAAAAGAGGAACAAATGTAATAATCTGAACAATAAAGATTTAATAAAAAATAAAAAGGCATAGGGTAGCTCAGGGGTCCTCAAACTAAGGCCGGCGGGCCACATGCGGCCCGTCGAAAACATTTATCCAGCCCGCCAGGTGTTTTTGCCACCGCTGCCTGTCCTGCTTAGCAGCTGACTCGTCCCGGGCCCACAGTGCGCATGTGTGGAATGTCTGAGGGTCAGTGAACTGGCCCCCTGTTTAAAAAGTTTGAGGACCTCTGGGTAGCTGAATGGATACAAACACATGACCCAACTATATTTTCTCTACAAGAGACCCATCACAGAACTAAAGACATGCACAAGATGAGAATGAAGGGAAGGGAAAAATTTTGTATAATAAATGAAAAAGAAAAAAAACTGGAGTAGCAATACTCATTTCTGAAAAGTAGACTTCAAAATGAAGGTCATCACAAGAGACAACAAAGGTCACTACATAATATTAAAGGGATAGATCCAACAAGAGGATATAACCCTGGTAAACATATATGAATCCAATATAGAAGCACCTAAGTATATAAAAAAAATTCTAGAGGATTTTAAAAGAGAGATCGACAACAATACAGTCATAATAAAGACCTATAACACCCTACTAACTTCACTGGATAGAGCTTCCAGACAAAAACTTAACAAACCTCAGAGAAAAGGTAGGGGAGGGTGGGGGTAAGGGGGAGAAATCAACCAAAGAACTTGTATGCATGCATATAAGCCTAACCAATGGATACAGACAACAGGGGGGTAAGGGCATGAGTGGAGAGGTGTAGGGGGCAATGGGGCAATAAGGACATATATGTAATACCTTAATCAATAAAGAAAAAATTTTTTTTAATTTAACAAGGAAACAGTGACTCTAAAGGACACACTGAATCAAATGGATTTAATTGACATTTATAGAACATTTCACCCCAACGTGGCAGAATGTACATTCTTCTCAAATGCACATGAATCATTCACAAAGATAGACCACATATTAGGACACAAATGGATTTAATTGACATTTATAGAACATTTCACCCCAATGTGGCAGAATGTACATTCTTCTCAAATGCACATGAATCATTTGACAGAAAATAATGAAGAAATAATGAAGAAATAATGACAGAAAACTTCCCCCACCTGGTGAAAGAAATAGACTTACATATCAAGCATTTTCTCAGATTACAGTGGAGTGAAATTAGAAATCAACTACAGTAAAAACACCCCAAAACATTCAAACACATGGAGGCTAAATAGCACGTTATTAAACAATGAATGGGTTACAAGCAAGATCGAGAAAGAAATAAAAAACTTCCTGAAAATAAATGAAAATGAACAGACAACAACCCAAAATTACTGGGACACAGCAAAAACAATCCTAAGAGAGACAGTACTGTGAACACTTGCTGAGGAAGACGTAAGTTAAGAATTTGTAGTCAACAACAAAAAAGTCCAGTTTAGCAGAGGTAATCAAGAGAGTGAGAAGTTTGTGTTTTAGTCAATATTGACTTGGGAGAACAAATATTTTTAAAGCAGAGTTTTGGTTAAAAAAACACATTAAATTATTGCTTCAATAACTGGAGGCACATAGATCAGTTCAAAGTTTTTAAATAATGCTTCTTCAGGATCACCTGCAATAAAAAAAGGAAGACTTTGCTAACAAGTCACTGAGATCCCATTTCTGAGTTAAACTACGCACCTCCTCATCATCTCTTTTACTTACTGTACAATTGTTAAGAATGTCATTTCTTTTAAAAACATCAATTCTAAAAAAAAAAAAAGAGTAGGTTAATATCACAATATTTTTTTACAAAAAAGATCTATTCCTTTTTAATTTATCTTTATTGTTTAAAGTATTACAGGTGTCCCTCTTTCTCCTCCATTAACTCCCCTGCTCCCCACTTCCTTCCCATCCCCAGTCCTTCACCCCATTATGGTCTGTGTCCATGGGTTTTTAATATGAATTTGTCTCCTGGATAAAATTATTCGAAAATACTAAGCTTTATCATCATACAGAAAAGGGAGTTATCTTTCTACAAAAGACTCTTCCCAGGGCTCCCTTCATGTCTCTGTTCCTCAGGCTGTAGATGAACGGGTTCAGCATGGGCGTCACCACAGTATACATCATAGCCATGACCATCTCCTTCACAGTAGAATTATCAGCTGATGGGCATAAATAAAGAGCAATAATTGCCCCAAAGAACAGTGACACCACAGCCAGGTGGGAGCCACAGGTGGAGAAGGCCTTGCGCATACCTCTAGCAGAAGGGACCTTGAAGATGGATGAAACAATTCGTGCATAGGACAGGATGATGAGTAGGAACGGGATGACAACAATGAGTCCTCCGATGGTAAATATCACCAAGTCATTAACTCGCGTGTCAGAGCAGGACAGCTTCAGCAGAGCAGACATGTCACAGAAAAAGTGAGGAATCACATTGTCGGCACAAAAACACAACCTGGCCATGAGCAGAGTGTGTAACATGGCATGCAACGTGGTCAGCCCCCAGGACAGCGCCACCAGGGAGAGACAGAGCCTGGGGCTCATGATGGTGGTGTAGTGCAGGGGGAAGCAGATGGCCACATAGCGGTCATAGGCCATGGCCACAAGGAGGAAGCTCTCCAGGTCTCCAAAAAATAGGAAGAAGTACATCTGGGTCAGGCAGCCTGCATAGGGGATGGATGGGACTTGGCTCTGCATGTTGTGCAGCAACTTGGGCATTGTGACAGAGGAGAAGCAGAGGTCAGAGAAGGACAAGTTACTGAGAAACAAATACATGGGCGTGTGGAGCTGAGAGTCCAGGCGAATCAGGAAAATGATGAGGAGGTTCCCCAGGACGGTGGTAACATACATGACCAGGAACAGGGCATAGAACAGGCTTTTCTGCTCTGACTGGATGGGCAGGCCCTGGAGGAGGAACTCTGTGACGGCAGTTTGGTTCCTTCCTGTCATATCTGTCTCCAGTATCTTTAGGAAGAAATAATAGTGTCCATTAACACCCGAATTTAAAAATGAACACATTTCTATGATACATGATGTTGTAGGTACTCTACAAAAATACTTTACATCACCTTTTCACCATCACTACAATCTCTAGATTTCAAATCTCTATAATCAGAAACTCTTATTAAAAATGACTCTTTTTTTACTTTGTTTTAACACATAATAATGTTCTAACCTTTCTGAAATTCTCTCATCCATTAGCTACTAAGACACATAACGTTTCAGTTTTCCTCATACCTGCCGGACCAAACAGCCTCAGTAACTATAATTGTCTCCTGCTCAGTCAAAATCTTACATGATGATGTTCCCTCAGGGCTTTTTCTTAAACACTCTTCTACTTCAAAGACTTCGATTACCATTTAAACTTCAGATGTATATGTCTCTCTAATCTATGAGTATAACAGTTGCTTAATGATTTCCTTCCTTGGCTGTATCACAGCATTTTAAGCTCAGTAGATCCCAAAAGAAAATCATGACCTTACCTTGCTCCTCTTCCACTCTCCACCTCTTCTGATTTACCTCATCTCATTAAAAGAGTTCCTAAATCTCCAGCCATAAACCTGAGGATTTCTTTCATTCCCACCTTTCCCTCATCATCAACATCCACTCCTTCAACAAGTCTGACAGATTCTGCCACTTAATTCTCATTCATCCATTCTTATCTCAACTTTCACGACCCTACACCAACTGACCTCATGCCTTATTTATACTATTGAAACAGTTTCACTGTGGCACTCTAAGATGAAAATCTGATCATCATGCTCCCTACTGTCCCTAAGAACAATGGATCCTCATTGTTCTTAAGATAAAGGCAACATTCCATTCAAATAATGCTTCATCTTTTTCACCCATCCAGTAAAGGAGAATATAGCCAATGATACTGGGATAACCGTGCATGGTGACAGATGCTTAACTAGAGGTAGTGTGGTGATCACATTGTAAGGTATATAAATGTCAAATCACTATATTGTACACCTGAAACTAATATAATATTTTATGTCAAATATATTTAAATTAAGAAGTGACCCTTTCTGCCACCACAGTTTTGTCTGGCCCCCCAATTGCACTCACATTCTTCTCTTTAGCAATGCGGGACCTCAATGTCACAACTTCTTGCCTCCAGCCTTTTGCACTTACTGTTCCTCTTGCTTAACATTTTCCTCCCCCTGCTCTCTCTTCACCTGACTAGCCCTTACATACCCTCCAGGTATATTACATGTCACTTACTCAGCTAAACCTTTCCTGCCTCCCAGACCAGATGAGAACCACTGCTGTTTCACATCACACTGTGCAGGCTCCCATAGCCCTCAAAGCCATTGAATTATTGGTTTGTACCTGATCCTTACTAGACGGTAAGATCCATACAGAAAAGGCCATGTCTGCTCATGACTGACTGAGGCTGAGACATGTATCCAACTTTACAGGTAGCAGGAGTCCTTTTAAGTAAGAGCCACTACATCTACTAAATTTTCCCAGAGCAAGAAGTCTCTAGCCTCAAGCATTTAACAGTGGATATGACACTTTATTATAGAATTTATGAATGTGATCTTGTGCCCTTGGAAAATGTTAGGGTACCACAGATTCTCTACTCTTGCCATTAATGTAAATGATAAAGGTAATAGAGCTATATAGCAAGATGGATAGATATGTAGATAGATAGATAATCCCCTTTTGGTCTTATCTCTCTGGAGCACCATGACTAAGACACATTATTGTGCCTCAGAGCAGACAAAGAAAGCAGAGGGGAAGGACTAAAAGATGTGGGAAGCTCCAGTTGCTGGGATTTCCACCATTTGATGCTGTTTGATCCAGCCACATAGATAGATTTTACACTTTAACACTATGCACTGACAGTACAGGGGGGGAACATCAGGTGAATCACACACCTGGTTTCTCTGAATTTTGTTTCTCAAGTAAATTAGTGGCACCTGACTCTTGTGCCAATAGTGTGCTGGAGATGACAAATAGGAAACAGAACTCGCAGATGCTACCACCGATAATGCAATAAGCCTCTCATCTTCTTCACCCACTAAGTCAGTAGTGCTCAGCCTGGAATGCACATAAAAATCTCTGAGGGGAGTGCTTCCGAAATGAATGTCCATGCAAATCACCTGGAGTTCAAGGAAAACACTGATTCTGACTCAGGAGGAAAGCAGCTACTTTGTAAATTAGCATTCTGATGATGCCCATCCTTGTCCACTAACGACACAGTGAACTGCAGGTACTAGTAACTATGATGCTATTGAAAATAAAGATCACTGGTCTCCCTAAGAGAAATTTAGAGAAGGGTCCTATGCCAAGGTTTTTCAAACTCAAGGTCCTCCAAAATATAGCAAGGGCTAGAGCTATTGCATTAAAAGCTATCATTACATTAAAATTGTATTACACTGTGGAATACATTACATAGGAAGTAATAGTTATGGACGCTATTATTAATAAAAAAGATCATAACTGGTGGACATTCAACAAAATGTTTTAGGATTTGGGGAAGTCTTGGAGGCTGAGAGGTGGAGAAGAGGAGGGTCATCATACCTGAAAATACCACAGCAGAACATCACACAACCTGAGAAAGCAAGACCATCCTGTTAGAAGGGACCCAAGAGACCAGCTCATTCATCTCCTGCCCAACTTAGTCTGTCTAAGGGTGATTTCTGGACCCTTGTCTGAGATTCTGCTCCCCTTTATACACTAAGCCATGTCAAGTAACAGCCTCTGTAGTCATCACCTGTGCCTGCAACATCCCTTCTCACATCTCCTATTCTACACAACCCTACACCAAAGGGCCCTGGATCCCAGAGGAATCTAGATCCTGGAGGAACTCATTAAAGTCAAAGTAATTATCCAGGATGGTTCTAGGACCATGATCTCAGAGTCCTGGAACAGTGACTGGTTATAGTCACTGATTACACATGACTATACTTGCTGGAAGCCAATTCCAGCATGACAGCAGGGCTGAATCTGGGAATGGCTGATGGCATTTCCCCAAACCTGAATGGGATACATTAAATTGATTGTTTGCTGCCAGACAGCTCAGGGCATCTTAATCTACATGTTATTGCCTCCTACTGGCCAAACACCTGAACAGCCTTAGGCTAATTCCCCCAAATCTGACAATGGACTCTGTATACTAAATCCTGACCTTTTGAAGTGTATATCTCCACCTCGCCTCAGGACAATTTGTGTTAATAAAAACCATGTCCTGAGACAAAGAGATCTCAGTTTCCTTTAAAATAGGCTCCTCTGACCCCCAAATGCCTTTCAAAATTATATTTCATCTCTGGACTCCTATTTAATCTATGCACAGCCTTCTCCAGATTCCAGAACCTGTCTAGATGCTGGATCAAGACCCACCAGCATTAAATTATGCCCAACGTCCGGGATTATATACTTTGGAGAGAAGCTCGTGTATGGACGATTAAACACTATCTGTTTAATGGACATTAGGCGTGTGGGGCTGGAGCCTACATTTTCAGAGGTGAAGGAAAATGGTTGGAGAAGCCAACTAGCAGGGACCAGAGTGTGAATTTCCTAAAATATCTTAGGAGTGTAGGAGGCTTTACCTGGTGGACATTAGAAGCAATCAATGTTCTTTGAGCAAAATGCCATGAAAGATACATATTTTGGAAAGATTCTCAGGTGGTAGAATCTCTCACTATACCCCAAGTCCTCATAAGCATACCTAGGGGGAGAGATATATCAGCAGCTAACACCTATTAGATCTCTATGACCCAAGCGTATGTAAGTATGTGGAAAACTTAGAGTAAGAGAAAAGATAAACTCTCCCAGATCATGTTCAATCTTCTTCAATCCAAGATTGAAAAGGAAAACTGGTTTTAATCCCATTGAGGAACTTGCATCTCCTTACTTCTTTAAGAAAACCTTAATACACTGGCCAGTATCATTATCTCTACTACTCTACAAGTGTGTCAGATTAACTCCTAGTCTCCACATCTTCCCTTTGTTGCAATTGATCACAAGACCATAGTTGACTTATAATTTCTTCTTTCACCACCCATTTCATGTTCTCCTTGACCATCATCTCAGCTGGATAGGGTTCTTTACATCGTGATGTTATGCAGACCTTCATTTCTGGGATACCTGCATCCTCATTGATTCTGCTTTTATTGGTTTGCTATAATCTTCATAAAATTCATTATTAGACATGACAATACTGAGCTATAACAAAAGAATTTCACAGTATTTCAGACACGGTCTTCTCTGGTCCAGTTGTGTAAAGCATCCTAGTTTTCCATCTGTAATAAATATTGCCACCCTAAGCAGAATAGCAATATTGCTCTTTGTCTATTGGTTCACATAAGAACTTCAAAAAGTCCAGATGGTAGGCTCAACTTCTCAATCAATGAAACCATTGTTATAAGCACTTTCCCCTTGAGAACTATATGAAACACTTCTTGTGTGCCATTTTTAATTCTCTCAGCCTCATCTCTTCTTCCAGCCACAAGTGCAGTAACCAACTCTGCACTGACTTCAACTAGCTGTAGAGGATGCAACCTAAAACCAGTTCACCTCATTTATGCTCTACACGCTCCAGACTTCCTGCTCTCGAACTTCTCTGACTCCATGACACAGGATGTCCTGGGGAAACTCCCTAAGTTCACATAAAAATATTTAGGTATCTGCCCCATGTTGAGTGAATTGTATAGAGTGTGAGCTATAGATTTTGATTCTTTTTTGCATATGGAAATTCAATCTCTCAAGTACTAATGGTTAAAAATACTATTTCCCATTGAATTGTCTTTAGATTTTTGTCAGTGATCAATGGATTATACATGAGTGGATCTATTTCTGGACTCTATAAGCTATTCTATCGTCTCTCTATACCTATCTATATTTCTATCTTTTCTCTAATACCACAATTTCCTGATGATTTTAATTTAATAGTACATCTGGAAACCAGGGAAATATGAGTCCTCCTACTTTGTTTCCAAAATCAACTTTGTTTTTTTAGTTTCTTTCCTTTACATATAAATTTTGTAATCAGATTGTCTATTTATACCCCCCATTGGAATTCTAATGGAATTGTGTGGATTCTCTAGATTAGTTTCAGAAATGGCCATATCTTAACAATAGTATTGAATCTTCCAATATCTCCCATTATATTTATCCATTTCTTCAGATCATCTGTGATTTCTTTAATCAGTGTTTTGAGAGTGTCAAGATATAAATCTTTGCACATATTGTGTAAGATTTATAGCTAAGTATTTAATTATTTAGTGCTATAATAAATGGTACTTTAAAGTGTTTCTTCACTTTCTACATCTTCATTACTAGTTGATAGTAATATAAATTATAATGTGTTAATATTTCTTTATTTACATACAGAATAAAAACTTAATATATGGGAGAGTTTAAAATGATGGCAGAAGTAAGTGGATGCTGCACAGACATGCTCCCAGGAACAAACTGGAATTACAACTAAAATACAGAAAATTTTCCTGAATAATCAATGGAAGACTCGGAGGAGAGAACCCTGATGTCCGAGGACCAAAAGTGGAGACTGCATAGAGACTGGTAGGAGGGGCGGAGGCACAAAAGGGCTGGCTGAGCACCCACAGAACCAATTGAAGTTTCAGAGAGATATCTCAGCTGTGGGGGGTTGCCACTAAGTACTCTGGGATCTAATCCCCAAGTTGGACCCCCACCAGAGAGCACCACAACTGAGAAGGGTACCCACATAACATCTGTCTGTGAAAAGCAGCAGGGTTGCTGTCTGCCAGGGAATGACAGTGGAAAATTCAGGATCCCTCTTAAAGGGCCAACACACAAAATTCCCTGGGGAGTCCCCTCCAACCCTCCCTCCACCCCCATCTCCATGCTCTGAGAGGGAGTGTGGAATGTGCTGGAGTTGTGTGGGCAGAAGCCAGGATTGGGGACTAGGGGGTTAGAGCTCGGAATGCAGACACCCCCAATTTCCTGGGCTCAGTCATTCCCTCACACAGCAGAGGACATCTTTCCCACACAGACATTTACCTTGTCTGGGGGGAGACAGCTGACCCACCCTATTGGAAAACACATTGCCCTGAGGTACTTAAGAAAATAAAAATAACAATTAGCCTCCAGGCAGAAGCAACTGTTGAAAAAACTCTCGCCACACTTGAAGAGGATTGCCACACTTGAAGACGATTGCCTGGAGCCATCCCAGTTGGAATCCTATCAGTCAATAGCAGTGATGGCAAACCTTTTGAGCTTGGCATGCCAGCATTTTGAAAAAACCCTAACTTAACTCTGGTGCCGTGTCACATATAGAAATTTTTTGATATTTGCAACCATAGTAAAACAAAGACTTATATTTTTGATATTTATTTCATATATTTAAATGCCATTTAACAAAGAAAAATCAACCAAAAAAATGAGTTTGCGTGTCACCTCTGACACGCGTGTCATACATTCGCCATCACTGGTCTATAGGCAGAGGCTGTCTCTGGAGGCTTTGAGTCTTTGCCTGATCTAATTAGTAAAACACAGAGTTTGACACTGTCCTGCACTAAAGATTGAGAGGTGCAGAGGATCTACCTAATATATAGTCACAAACCCAAACAGACAACCAAAATGAGGAGACAAAGAAACAACCCCCAAATGAAAGAACATTTCAAATGAAAGAACAAGAGAATTCTCTAGAAGAAGAGATAAATAAAGCAGAGATAAGAAATTTGTCTGAAACAGAGTTCAGAATAATGATGGTAAAGATGCTCAACAACATGAAAAAAGATATAGTAAATATGGAAAAAAACAGAATGACATAACACAAATAACGAACCCATTGGAAGGAATACACAGCAGATTAGAGAAAGCTGAGGATTGAATCAGTGAATTAGAAAACACAGTTGATAAAATCACTCAATCAGAGAACCAAAAAGAAAAAAAAACAATTAAAAAATAGGAGGACACTTTAAGGGAACTGTGGGACGATGTGAAATGTAAGAATATTAAGATAGCAGGTGTGCCAGAAGAGGCAGAAAGGGAAAGGGGGATAGAGAACGTGTTTAAAGAAATAATGGCAGAAAACTTCCCTAACCTGGTAAAGGAAAAAGTCACACAAGTTCTGGACGCACAGAGAAACTCCAAAAAAGAAGAACCCAAACAGGCCCACGCCCAGACACATCATAATTAAAATGCCAAAAATTAAAAACAAAGAGAGAACCTTAAAGGTAGCAAGAGAAAATCAAACTGTTACCTACAAAGGAACTCCCATAAGGCTGACACCTGATTTCTCATCAGGCCAGAAGGGAATGGCATGAAGTACTCAAGGTGATGGAAAGCAAGGATCTGAAACCAAAATTACTCCTCCCTCCCTCCGCAAGGCTACCATTCAAAAAAGATAGTCAAATAAAGAGCTTCCAAGACAAAAAGAAAAGGTTAAAGGATTACATCACCACCAAGCCTGCATTATAAGGAATGCTAAAGGGACTGCTGTAATGAGAAGAAAAACAGAGAAAAATCTAGGCATATCCTATATAATAAAAGGGTAATATGCAAATTGACCCAAATGGTGCATGACCAGGAATGACCAGTCTCTATGACATGCACTAAACACCAGGGGGCAGATGCTCAATGCAGGAGCTGCCTCCTGGTGGTCAGTGTGCTCCCACAGGGGGAGCTCTGCTCAGCTACAAGCCAGGCTGACGGCTGCGAGTGCAGTGGTGGTGGCAGAAGCCTCTCCCGCTCCTTAGCAGTGCTAAGAATATCTGACTGCAGCTTAGGCCTGCTTCCCATGAAGAGCAGGACTAAACTATCAGTCAGACATCCCCCGTGGGCTCCCAGACTGCAAGAAGGAGCAGGCCGGGCTGAGGGACCCCCTGAGTGCCTCTAGTAGAATTAAAATGGCAATAAATAAGTAAGTACCTATCAATAATAACCCTAAATGTAAATGGATTAAATGCTCCAATAAAAAAGGCATAGGGTAGCTGAATGGATACAAACACATGACCCAACTATATTTTCTCTACAAGAGACCCATCACAGAACTAAAGACATGCACAAGATGAGAATGAAGGGATGGAAAAAAAATTCTATAATAAATGAAAAAGAAAAAAAAGCTGGAGTAGCAATACTCATTTCTGAAAAGTAGACTTCAAAATGAAGGTCATCACAAGAGACAACAAAGGTCACTACATAATATTAAAGGATAGATCCAACCAGAGGATATAACCCTGGTAAACATATATGCATCCAATATAGGAGCACCTAAGTATATAAAAAAATTGTAGAGGATTTTAAAAGAGAGATCAACAACAATACAGTAATAATAGAGGACTTTAACACCCCACTGACTTCACTGGATAGAGTTTCCAGACAAAAACTTAACAAACCTCAGAGAAAAGGTAGGGGAGGGTGGGGGTAAGGGGGAGAAATCAACAAAAGAACTTGTATGCATGCATATAAGCCTAACCAATAAACACAGACAACAGGGGGTGAGGGCATGAGTGGGGAGGTGGAAGGGGCAATGGGGCAATAAGGACATATATGTAGTACCTTAATCAATAAAGAAAAAAATGTTTTAATTTAACAAGTAAACAGTGACTCTAAAGGAAACACTGAATCAGATAGAATTAATTGACATTTATAGAACATTTCACCCCAACGTGGCAGAATGTACATTCTTCTCAAATGCACCTGGATCATTCACAAAGATCAAACACATATTAGGACACAAAATTAGTCTCTACAAGTTCAAGAAGATTGAAATCATATCAAGCATCTTCTCAGATTACAGTGGAGTGAAATTAGAAATCAACTACAGTAAAAACACCCCAAAACATTCAAACACATGGAGGCTAAATAGCATGTTATTAAACAATGAATGGGTTACAAGCAAGATCAAGAAAGAAATAAAAAAAACTTGCTGGAAACAAATGAAAATGAACAGACAACAACTCAAAATCACTGCCACACAGCAAAATCTATCCTAAGAGAGAGTACTGTGAACACTTGCTGAGGAAGACATATGTTAAGAATTTATAGTCAACAACAAAAAAGTCCAGTGTAGCAGAGGTAATCAAGAGAGTGAGAAGTTTGTGTATTATTCAATATTGACTTGGGAGAACAAATATTTTTAAAGCAGAGTTTTGGTTAAAAAACACATGATAAATTATTGCTTTAATAACTGGAGACACATAGATCAGTTCAAAGTTTTTAAATAATGCTTCTTCAGGATCACCTGCAATAATAAAAAGGAAGACTTTGCTAACAAGTCACTGAGATCCTGTTTCTGAGTTCAACTATGCACTTCCTCATCATCTCTTTTACTTACTGTATAATTGTTTAGAATGTAATTTCTTTTAAAAACATCAACACTAAAAAAGTAAGTGTGGATTATTACCCCATTATTAAATTTAATATGTCTACTGAATAAAAGTATGCAAAAATACTAAGTTTTACCATCATACAGAAAAAGAAGTTTTCTTTTTGAAAAACACTTTTCCCAGGGCTCCCTTCATGTCTCTGTTCCTCAGGCTGTAGATGAAGGGATTCAGCATGGGTGTCACGATAGCGTACATCATAGCCATGACCATATCCTTCAAAGTAGAATTATCAGTTGATGGGCATAAATATAGGCCAATAACTGTACCATAGAACAGTGACACCACAGCCAGGTGGGAGCCACAAGTGGAGAAGGCTTTGTAAATACCTCTAGCAGAAGGGACCTTCAGGATGGACAACACAATTCGTGCATAGGACAGGATGATAAGTAGGAACGGGATAACAAGAATAAGCCCTCCCATGATAAATATCACCAACTCATTGACTTGAGTGTCAGAGCAGGATAGCTTCAGCAGAGCAGACATGTCACAGAAAAAGTGCGGAATCACATTGTCGGCACAAAAACACAACCTGGCCATGAGCAGAGTGTGTAACATGGCATCCAAAGTGGTCAGCGCCCAGGACAGCGCCACCAGGGAGAGACAGAGCCTGGGGCTCATGATGGTGGTGTAGTGCAGGGGGAAGCAGATGGCCACATAGCGGTCATAGGCCATGGCCACAAGGAAGAAGCTCTCCAGGTCTCCAAAAAGCATGAAGAAGTACATTTGGGTCAGGCAGCCTGCGTAGGGGATGGAGGGGACTTGGCTCTGCATGTTGTGCAGCAACTTGGGCATTGTGACAGAGGAGAAGCAGAGGTCAGAGAAGGACAAGTTACTGAGAAACAAATACATGGGCGTGTGGAGCTGAGAGTCCAGGCGAATCAGGAAAATGATGAGGAGGTTCCCCAGGACGGTGGTAACATACATGACCAGGAACAGGGCATAGAACAGGTTTTTCCGCTCTGACTCGATGGGCAGGCCCTGGAGGAGGAACTCTGTGACGGCCGTTTGATTCCTTCCTGTCATATCTGTCTCCAGTATCTTTAGGAAGAAATAATAGTGTCCATTAACACCCGAATTTAAAAATGAACACATTTCTATGATACGTGATGTTGTAGGTATTCTACAAAAATACTTTACATCACCTTTTCACCATCACTACAATCTCTAGATTTCAAATCTCTATAATCAGAAACTCTTATTAAAAATGACTCAATTTTTTTTACTTTGCTTTAATACATAATAATGTTCTAACCTTTCTGAAACACCCACTCATTAGCTTCTAAGACACATAATGTATCAGTTTTCTTCATACCTGCAGGGCCAGACAGCCTCAGTAACTATAATTGTCTCCTGCTCAGTCAAAATCTTACATGATGATGTTCTCTCAGGGATTTTTCCTAAACATTGTTCTACTTCAAAGGCTTCCATTACCATTTAAACTTCAGATGTACATGTCTCTTTAATCTATGAGTATACACAGCTGCTTAATGATTTCCTTCCTTGGCTGTATCACAGCATTTTAAGCTCAGTAGATCCCAAAAGAAAATCATGACCTTACCTTGCTCGTCTTCCACTCTCCACCTCTTCTGATTTACCACATCTCATTAAAAGAGTTCCAGGATATTTAGCCATAAACCTGAGGATTTTCTTTCATTTCCACCTTTCTCTCATCATCAACATCGACTCCTTCAACAAGTCTGATAGATTCTGCCACTTAATTCTCATTCATCCATTCCTTATCTCCACTTTCACGACCGTACACCAACTGACCTCGTGCCTCATTTATATTATTGATATAGTCTCACTGTGGCACTCTAAGATGAAAATCTGATCATCATGCTCCCTACTGTCCCTAAGAACAATGGATCCTCATTGTTCTTAAGATAAAGGCAACATTCCTTTCAAATAATGCTTCATCTTTTTCACCCATCCAGTAAAAGAGAATATAGCCAATGATATTGGGATAACTGTGCATGGTGACAGATGCTTAACTAGAGGTAGTGTGGTGATCACATTGTAAGGTATATAAATGTCAAATCACTATATTGTACACCTGAAACTAATATGATATTTTATGTCGAATATATTTAAATTAAGAAGTGACCCTTTCTGCCACCACAATTTTGTCTGGCCCCCCAATTGCACTCACATTCTTCTCTTTAGCAATGCTGAACCTCAATGTCACAACTTCTTGCCTCCAGCCTTTTGCACTTACTGTTCCTCTTGCTTAACATTTTCCTCCCCCTGCTCTCTCTTCACCTGGCTAGCCCTTACTTACCCTCCAGGTATAGTACATGTCACTTACTCAGCTAAACCTTTCCTGCCTCCCAGACCAGATGAGAACCACTGCTGTGTTTCACATCACACTGTGCAGGCTCCCATAGCCCTCAAAGCCATTGAATTATTGGTTTATACCTGATCCTTACTAGACTGTAAGATCCATACAGAAAAGGCCATGTCTGCTCATGACTGACTGAGGCTGAGACATGTATCCAACTTTACAGGTAGCAGGAGTCCTTTTAAGTAAGAGCCACTACATCTACTAAATTTTCCCAGAGCAAGAAGTCTCTAGCCTCAAGCATTTAACACTGGATATGACACTTTATTATAGAATTTATGAATGTGATCTTGTGCCCTTGGAAAATGTTAGGGTACCACAGATTCACTACTCTTGCCATTAATGTAAATGATAAAGTAATAGAGCTATATAGCTAGATGGATAGATATGTAGATAGATAGATAATC